TTTGAACAAGAGAAATTTAATCCCTTCTCCAAAGAAGCTCACTGTCTAAAGGGACTAGCAGAGATAAATAGCTAGTACATAGTAAATGAGTGCAATAAAGCAAACTAACAAGGTAGAATGAAAAAAAAAAAATCTGTATATGGGATATAAGGATGACTCCCCTAAAGTTTTACAAGGTTCTCAGAAAAGCAAGTTTCAATAAATCTTACTGAAGTCATACTAGAAAACATATTCAGACATTTTAGACAGCTTTTCAATAACTGGAGGTTTTATTTTTTTAAAAAAGGAGGGGAGACTAGTTAGCCCTAAGTCACCAGAAAATTTATTTTTATTACAACATCTTATTTCCCTAGGAATTTCAGTTGATCATGTCCTTAATTTATGTGTCCAGATTTTCTTAATTTAGGAACAAAATTCATCAAGTTTTGCCTCACATGACATCACTGCTGGGGTCTAGGGTATTGACTCCAAGCTCTCCACTTCACCCTTCTCAAGGAATCTGCTGACAAAAGCAGTGAAGGAGATCACAGATAATACATATCACCAAACCGAACACAGCACTGTAATTTATAGTACTAGATGGAAAGGTGATATTTAATGTCAAAATACAATTTGGGGTCTGGAGACATAGAGTTCAGATTTATCTCCTATAAATGTCAATCTCATATACAAGCCTTAGACTGATTTTCAATACGGTCTAAGCTTAAAACTTTATGATTATCTTCAGAAAAAGTACAGAAACAGCTAGTTCTTGCTCACTGTGTTCTTACTACATGAAGTTACAAAATGTAATGCTATTCTAGGAACAGGAACTGATACGGTTTACTGGACCAAGAAGGGAAAGAGTCCCCTTGTGTAAGAGTGGCTAATCTAAATTTAAACAATGCTGGTTGGGACAAATATGTAGAATGAAAAATCCTATGTGGCAGGTACTTTCACATACAAAGTTCCTGTTCATCTAGCAGGGCTTTATTTACTTTCTTGGTAAACCAATGCCTAAGTAGTACATGTGCAAAATATCATATTTAAATAAGTTCATAAAATTAATTGTTATAGATAAAATCCTTTGTGTTTCTAAATCTGCACTGACAATGACTTCCAGTTTTCAGGAATGGTTGAGTTTATTTGGCAGGGTAACTGTTAGTACTGGTCCTATTTCCACCAGTTCTAGGTCAAATAAAAGGGCTCAGCTCTTTTCTCAGTGAAGTGCTATGAGTGGTTCAGATTTTAGAAGGTAACAAGTTGTTGCTTGATGTACCTACATGGGTCGGGGAATGACTCTTTGAATTACCATGACACCAGTTTGGTTTGCCTTTGATATGATAATTCATATAGTAATTTAGAGCTTGCATATAGTATGTCTCTTCCCTGAGTTGGGCAAGTCTCATCATTTTATAAACTCCCACCACCTGAAGAATCAGTTAAGTCAAAAATCTTTAAAAGAATAAAACTTCAAATGAGAACTTTTGGGAAAACATGTCAGATGTCATGAAGAAAGGTATATGTTATATCCAAATATAAGTGGATATGTTGCAATATTTACCCTCCTTCCCAGTTATTACTGCTTGGTTAATCAGTGAACTGGTACAATTGATCTATGGGCTAAAAGTCAGCCATATATTTAAGGAAATAAAACACCCATAAACTGATTAAGAATTCAGAATTTCCAAACCAGGAAGAAGAGAAATACATGCCAAAGGAAAAGATATTTTGTATTAAGTAAATTTCATATAAATTTCAGTAAATTTCACAGCCCAGCTTTTAAGAAAAGCCCCATCGCAAGACAGCATGAGGAACAAAGAAGCCTAGGCGAGCTAGACATGCCTAAATGAAATGACAATAATGAAATATAACTATTTCAATGTATGGACATGTGCATGAAAGAAATAAAACAGAAAGAACACAGAAAACAGAAAGAAACAGAAAAAGAATTTAGAGGGAATCCTCATCAAGTAAACAAAGAATTAGCCTGAGAACTGAATCCCAAATGGAATGAAAAAAAGTAAAACCAAAAGCAGATGACTAAGGAGATAAGCCAAGAACTGGTACGTACTTGCATGAGTAAAAGCAGAAAGGTAAATTCAAGAAATAAGATGCCACCTACAAAAGACATACTAAATACAAAAGCACTCTTTAAATATACGAGGGAGAAAGGAAAGTTAAAAGAAAAAACCCCTTTATTAGATATAAGGGACAAGTAATCGTGGAGCCCAGCTATCAAAGAGGGGTTCTCTCATTATTATTATTATTGTAAAAATGGAATTCAGCTGGGAAAAGGGAATAGAGGCAAGCAATATAGCCTGGGATGGAGATAAGGAGAAGACTTAGCAATTGACTATTCAAATGAGCCAGAAATGTTCAGCTCTTTAGGGCTTAATAACTTGCATTCCCAGACGCTAAAAAAATTAACTGAAGTCATTACATGGCTGCTAGTTTCCATTTACATTGAAGGATTAAAAAGTACCTTCATACTAAAATCTCCTCTCCTAGACTGTAAGTT